GAAAATTCGGCAGACGCCAATCACGAAACATCGCATCATAACCGAAGAAAATTCCAGACCACTCCGTCAGAGTCCGTACAGGGTTTTGACGCGAGAACGTGAGGCCATGAAGAGACAAGTTGATGAAATGCTGCGGGATGACATTATCCAGCCGTCCAAGAGTCCATGGGCATCCCCCGTGGTGTTAGTGAAGAAAAAGGATGGGACCCTACGTTTCTGCGTCGATTATTGCCGCCTGAACAAAATCACAAGAAAAGACGTGTATCCCCTCCCACGAATAGACGACGCACTTGATCGGCTCCATAACGCCAAGTACTTTTCGTCAATGGACCTCAAGACTGGCTATTGGCAAATCGAAGTCGACGAAAGAGACCGAGAGAAGACGGCGTTTATAACACCGGACGGCCTCTTCGAGTTTAAGGTGATGCCCTTCGGCCTTTGCTCAGCGCCTGCAACGTTTCAACGCGTTATGGATACAGTACTGGCAGGATTTAAGTGGCAGACTTGCCTTGTGTACTTGGACGACGTCGTCGTGTTTTCCTCGAGTTTCGACGAGCATCTTCGGCGCCTTGAAGCTGTACTTCAAGCCATCAAGACTTCCGGACTCACACTGAAGCCAGAAAAGTGCAGAATTGCGTATGAGGAGCTCTTGTTTCTGGGGCACGTTATCAGCAAGTCTGGAGTTCGTCCCGATCCATGGAAAACAGCCGCCATCGCCGACTTCCCACCGCCCACTGACAAGAAAACCGTGCGCCAATTTCTGGGCCTGTGTGCCTATTATAGGCGGTTCGTGAAAAACTTCTCCCGCATCGCCGATCCTCTCACTAACCTTACCAAGGCCGACGTGGAGTTTAAGTGGGAAACGCCGCAGGAACACGCTTTCCAGGAGCTTAAACATCGCCTCCAGACGCCTCCGTTACTTGCCCATTTCGACGAATTCGCCGAGACAGAAATACATACTGACGCAAGCAGCGTAGGTCTTGGCACCGTTCTTGTGCAGAGGGCTGACGGACTTGAAAGGGTTATTAGTTACGCCAGCCGATCGCTATCCAAAGCAGAAGCAAATTATTCCACAACAGAAAAGGAGTGCCTCGCCATCATCTGGGCTACGTCGAAATTTCGCCCCTACCTTTACGGCAGGCCCTTCAAAGTTGTGAGCGACCACCACGCCTTGTGTTGGCTAGCCACCTTGAAGGACCTCTCAGGTCGCCTCGCACGATGGAGCCTGAGACTTCAAGAATATGACATTACTCTCATTTACAAGTCCGGCAAAAAACACTCCGACGCCGACTGTCTCTCTCGTGCGCCTGTCGACCAACCGCTACCCGACGACCCGGATGACGACTACTTCTTAGGAACAATAACTACCGACGACTTCGCTGAACGACAGAGGGCCGACCCGGAACTTAAGGCCCTAATAGAATACCTCGAAGGCAGGACCGCCGAAGTCCCGAAGGTATTCAAGCGCGCACTTGCGTCGTTCTTCCTACGAAACGGTCTTCTACAAAAGAAAAACTTTTCACCGCTTCGAGCTAAGTACCTCCTTGTGGTGCCTTCAGCTCTGCGACCAGAACTCCTGGAGGCCCTTTACGACGATCCGACGACAGGGCACCTCGGTGTTTCTCGCACGCTCGCGAGGATACAAGAAAGGTACTACTGGCCACGTCTTACGACCGACGTCACTCGTTATGTGAGGACATGCCGGGACTGTCAGCGACGCAAGACACCACCGACAAGGCCAGCGGGACTTCTGCAGCCAATTGATCTACCTTGCCGACCTTTCCAGCAGATTGGTATGAACCTACTGGGGCCGTTCCCGACGTCGGCTTTCGGAAACAAGTGGATCGTGGTAGCTACCGACTACCTCACCCGCTACGCCGAGACAAAAGCCCTGTCAAAAGGCAGTGCATCCGAGGTAGCTAAATTCTTCGTCGAAAATATTGTCCTACGTCATGGCGCCCCGGAGGTCCTTATCACCGACAGAGGAACGGCATTCACTGCCGACTTAACTCAAGCGATCTTGGCATACAGCCAAACAAACCACCGCCGGACGACAGCGTACCACCCACAGACCAACGGCCTCACCGAGCGGCTTAACAAGACGATCGCCGACATGCTGTCAATGTACGTCGATGTCGAACACAAGACGTGGGACGCCATTCTTCCGTATGTGACCTTCGCATACAACACGGCGGTGCAGGAGACGACGCAGATATCTCCATACAAATTGGTCTACGGAAGGAGCCCGGCAACGACGCTCGATGCCATGTTACCCAACGTCACCGACGAAGAAAACCTCGATGTGAGCGAGTACCTTCAACGTGCCGAAGAAGCCCGACAACTTGCGCGTCTCCGTATCAAGAATCAACAGACGACCGACGGCCACCGTTACAACCTTCGACGACGCTTCGTGGAATACCAGCCCGGTGAACGTGTTTGGGTGTGGACGCCGATACGCCGACGTGGACTAAGTGAAAAGCTTCTGCGACGGTACTTCGGACTGTACAGGGTGGTTCGACGTCTCGGCCCACTTGATTACGAGGTTGTCCCCGACGGCATCACAAACTCTCAACGACGCCGATCGCGACCTGAAGTCGTCCATGTCGCGTGCCTCAAGCCGTTTATTGCGCGTTAACAAACTGAACTATTGTTTTTTGTATTATTGTTGTATCGTAATTTACTCATTGTACTTTCTTGCATTGTTATTGTACTTTCATCTTTAGTTAAAGCATCGGGACGATGCCTTTTTTTCAGAGGGGGGAAATGCCACGTTCCATTTCCCAAGTTTTTGTTATCGTCCCAAAACACCACACGATTCTCAGCGCAAACCGCGCCTGCAGTTTTCTAGAAGGTTCCGGACTGTAGTAGATCATTTCGATAAGATCACGCCCACTGTGCGAACGGTACAGATTGTTCTGGAACCTACGCCACCGCCAGCGATAACGCTAGAACATTCGACGGCAAGAGTATAAATGCCGACGCGCTTCGCCGCTTGTCAGTTGTTGATCGAAGGCCGACGCTCCGTTCGCCGCTATCAGTCCGAGACTGCTATCTGTGAGAGACTGCTGCTGTAATTTGACTTTCCGTTTACCGGGCACAGGTTCGCCCAAATAAACAGTTAAATACCAACACGAAGTCTCCTGTCTTCGGCCACGTCACGACCCCGTGACAATATGTACAAATATTGAACGCACAGACATACGTTAAATAGTTACAGATGTTTATATAACCAGATGTTGGCACTTGCGCAACTATAACAACTGGAACATGTGTATTATCAACACCAGAAGGTGAAAGGAAGCGCTGATGCACGCGAGGATGCTGGCCCTAGACAGTGCTACACAAATCAACTTCAGTGCAATGCAATTAACCACATTTCACGTTCACCCGACATGACGGCTGTCTCAAAGGAGGACATATGTAATGTTTATGAAATTCGTTAGGCAGCGCTGCAACCACTATTGGCATTTCACAAAAATTAGCGTCTGTTTGAAAAGTAGTTCCGAGACCTGGCGTAGCTCTGTGGTAAAATGATTCATTCCCACGGAAAATGCTTGGGTTCGATTCCTGCTGGGGCCCTCATATTTTCTCCTTGCAATAGTCGGGTTGACGCTGCCGATGAAGCACGCATGATCAATTTCAGCGCTCACGCGCTCAAATTGCTCATGTGTGCTTTAGGCTTTCCTGGATAGATACTGAGTGTCAATGTAATGTGGCACATACCGGCATACCAGTGGCACATACCCGCCCGTGGGTATGTGCCGATGTCTGGCGGGAAGCGCTTGACGAAGTACGCGACAGGATTGTGACAATATTCACCAGTGCTTCATATTAGACCCGTGCGTCATTGCCCAGTGCGTCATATTTGTCAAACCATCTTATCGTCCCAGGCTAATTTTGGTTGACGCCATGTTAAGTGGGTGACCACGAGAGCACTCAAAGGTTCGCGTATAGATAGATAGATAGATAGATAGATAGATAGATAGATAGATAGATAGATAGATAGATAGATAGATAGATAGATAGATAGATAGATAGATAGATAGATAGATAGATAGATAGATAGATAGATAGATAGATAGATTCAAAGTCGCCAAAGTTCGCTAAGAAATGGTTCGAATATAAAGGCGTGAGTTTACTACCAGTGGTCGAAGCCACGTTCTGCAGCCGCAGCGCTTGAGAAGCCGATGTGTTACCGGCGAAAAACTTTGGTGATTGCAGTGAGAACATTTCAGGACGCGAGGTTCCCTGGAAGAGAATTTTCGAGAGCAGAGGAACGATAACAAGTTCCGGAATTTGAGCTAGTATTTCCTTGAAGAGATGCATTCCGGCTTTGTTCCAAGAACTTTGTACTGAACTTGTTTGACGAATATTTTAGTCTATAAGTGTCTTGTTTAGTTAACGCATGAGAGTGCATTGAAGCGCGTCTTGTTGTTTGTACCCGCTGTTTTGAGTGTATTCAATTGTGTTGTATAGCGCGTTGCTTTGAGGACTCTTTCCTTTCCCTATTTCTTTGCTTCTGTAGTTACACTGTACCTACTTTTAGGTTGCGCTGTTCGTATATTCAGTTATGTCCTACCAACTTGCTCAAGTATTCACACTTGTATTGTGGTATTGCCGAGAGTGCATATTAGTGTGTTTTTGAACTTCTGTAGTTAAGAATATATTTTTGGTTGGTTATCAACTCTCGGCTATGATTCATTTTTTGGATCACAGGTGGCGTTCACTTGCGTGCCAAATAGGACCAAAGCTAAATTGCCCGTGCTTTCGTGGTGCACCTCGGGGGCTCACACTTCGGCCCGTGTTATTAGCCCAGAGATTGCTTGCCTCATATGTGGGATCAGTGACAGTGCCTCCCAATCGAGAAAATTCTGGCACCACACTAGGCGCACAGATACGTATTTGAGGCAATATGCCAGTAACGGTCAGTTCGAGGTCAGCGCTATGTCCTCTTGTGTCGGTGAGCTTGACCGCTTCTTCTTTTTTGTAATGAGCTGTTGTCAAATAGTAGAACTTTATTGCTAGACAAGATGCTTTGACAGATCGAGGTGTCCCAACAGTGACTCTTCCAAAGGGTACTGCTGAGTATCAGGCAAGAGCTATGGAGCACAATGTGGCGCAAAAGAAAGTGTTAAATGTACATGGTATTCTGCATCTGCGAATGACTAGAACAGACAAAAAGCAAATATCGTTCACTTTCCAACATTTTTCAATCATAACAGTATCCGCTAATAACTTATGATGAATCAATACATGTCTCTTGGTGTTAGCTGCATGTTCTCAGAAGAAGGTTATTGTAGAAACAGACATACTGGAGAACAACTCTGGTAAACCTGCCTGCCTTTTGATCAACTTAATTCTCTCTCTCTGAATTCTGTCCATAACACCAATCAAAAGCTGAGCATGGGCGTTTTAAGCACCGTGTAATTCTGGAGTAGAGGTACATTTCGTAGTATATTAGTAGTTGGAGGCTGAGGCCTGCCTGTCTTTCCAAGTATTTCTTTTATTGTTAATTTACTCACTTTTGTAATATTTAGTAAATTAATAAGAAAAGTAAAGATATACTTTCTGAAAAAGAGTGGCTTCTTTCTCTCTTCTTTCTGAAATGTTCCCTGCACACTACAAAAGGATATTTTTTCCCAAAAGTGTTCTTTCTGTTTCAGGTTCATCTGGTAAGAAAGATAACTGCTGGGGTGACAAGGCATTTGAGGTTGCCATGATTTTGACAAAGAGACTGACACACTAACCTTCATGGATTATGTTTTCATTAGTTGAGTAGAGATATTTTCGATCAGGGTGTCCAATTATGGAAGGGTAGCGTGAAAAACGCCGAAAAACCTTTGTACCGGAATTCTCCTGAGCCGATGTCCCACCATGGGGATTCTAATGGCTAAGGTGCTCGGCTGCTGACACGCAGGTCAACATATCAAATCCTGGCTGTGGCGGTTGCATTCATGATGGAGGCGAAAATGCTGTAGGCCCATGTGCTCAGATTTAGGTGCATTTTAAAGAACGCCAGGTGGTCGAAGTTTGAGGAGTAGTACTCTATTACGGCATCTCTTGTAATCACATGGTGGTTTTGGGACGTTAAACCTCACATATCAATCAATAAATCCCCAAAGCCAATGATCTCGTACGGTTATAGGCCGAGGAAGATGCGATGCTTGAGTTTGTGAAACATAGGTCACTGAAGTTCTGTGATTTGCTGCAAATCCACATCAGCAGTAGTGGAAGACGCGTCCACGCTATCACTCGGCATGAGTTTTTGATTTCCTCTTTTCAGTGCCAACCTCTTTCGTAAAGTGTAGGATTGCGCTAATTGGTAATCCATTATTAATCTTCTCAGGGCAAAAACTTCCGCACACTAACACAAAAGACGAGGACGCTCGTCCTCGTCTCTTGTGTCAGTTAGAAGAATAATAATTAACCTCTTCTACAGAAAAACAGCAGTGCAATATTCTGAAAGTACACACAACAAAAAGAATGCTCACTCTTGACTGATTTAACTTTTCAACATGTGGGCACATTATACCTAGACGTACAAAACATTTTTTGGTGTCACTATCTCTCGTCGACATAAAGCACCTCTGACGGCCACAAACAAGTGCTATACATATCACACACGGTTAAAAAAATAATTTTTGTGCTACACTGGGTCAATCCGGGGCAAAGTTGAAGCATCCGCTCCTTCACAAAAATAAGCTTGATATCTTGCATCCCAATAGCATCTAAACATGAATCGAACTAAACTAGAACAGCGATAGATCTGTATATGATAAAAGCAGGTAACATAGACTAAACAGTTGGATTTCAAACTAAGAACAACACTTTGATGAAAATTAAAACCCTGTGATCTTCGCAAAAGGCCGAGAAGCAATAAACTTTCTTTTTGTGAAAGGGTTAGAGGTGGCACGCTCACAAGGTTAGTCACGATACGTTCTAATTATACTGCGTCAATATCTCTCTAGTCGTAGTGTTTTTTGTTTCTTGCCATTACTATTACTTCGGAAAAGATTGGCTTGCAAACACAATCCCTGCAATGAAAGCCTGGGTGGCCACTCTTTGCTCCATGTACGTCGATTCATTGCTCTTTCTGTGGCTTATTAGGACATCTTCCTCTTTCCTTATATATCTCATTTACAGGACAATAGGATCGAACGTGTAACACCTTTAAAGCAGTTCAAAAACCAGTTTATAGAACACAAATTTGGCTACATTCCTTTTTCGTTTACATTGAGACACATTGTGCATAATTTTATATGCACATTCAATACGACTCCTACACAGGAATGCTTTCCTTTCTTTTTCTCTAGTTTAAAGGTTAACAGGCGAATGCAAGGAATCACAGGTTTTTTTCTCTCTTGTTTGGATCACTTTCCTTATGCCTATCTCTTTCAACAACGTTTATCTTTTCAAGAACTTATCCCGCAATGAATGCCAGTGCATTCTTCGAATACCGTGGCACCTGAAGACGGTCTATCTTTTTGTTAAAAATGTCTGTCGTGAAATAAGCTTATGATCCGCTTAAGGCATTCGTGAAGCACGTCACTGCAATGGATTCTTTTACAAGCTTTTATTCGGTCCACACAGACTTTAAAGTTAGTACAATAGGTTTAAAACCACTTGTACTAAATTTCCAGTTGTTGGTAGAAATTTATATTAATGTTTTATATCTAAAACCTTCTTTTTCTAAAGATCGAGTTTTCTGTGCGACACGAGCCACGCGGTGCTTTTTTAATTTGACTATAAACATTTGTAGCTTATAACAAATCGACTGAAGGGAAGTGTGCTTCACGAAATAGTTCACCAAATCATGTTTTCACTTGACGAAACGCAGCCTTTCAGGATGCAGAGCATTGAACTCATCGGTAGCAAAATCATTTCTTGAAAAGATAAAGGCTAACATAAGGCGTGACTGGAGGGAAATGGAAGCAAACAGAAGAGAAAAATAAAAAAACTGCGATACCTTGCAGTTACCGGTTAAGGCATAACATAAAATAGATAGGAAAACAATGAGTGACTAAAGGAACATCAAAACAACGTAAATAGAGCAATCATAGGCCATCGAGGCTTCCATTGAAGAAATTCTGGCTGGAAGCCAATGTTTTACAAAATAATTGTAGCAAATAGCAACAAAAATAACAAGAACAAAAAATACCTAAACGAGCAGAAATTGAGCGTGTCAAGCCTGTGGGAGCATGCTATTTCTCACAAGAAGATATTCATTTTTTCAACCGTATGTGATATGTATAGCATGCCTTTGTGAGGCCCAGTGGTGACGTATATCGAAGAAATAGGGGCACCAAATCATGTCAATATTTTTTTTATTTTTTGTTAATGTAAATGTACACTAATATAAATTGGCAGTCCGCACTTTCGTCGTGCCTTCTTGTGCGTCCTGCCTGAATATTGTGCTGCATATTTTCTATTTTAGGCATGAACAAACAAGCCTAAACCTCAACCTTAGCAAGCTTCTGATAAAGCAGAATCAAGCTGGTATGATGTACCGGCTCCTTATAGGAGCAAATCGGCGTAACCTCCACAGTCTACGTAGTACAACAACGCCAATGCACGCAGTTCTGAGCCACAAAAAATAGTTTTTGTGCTTTTGTATGCAATTCCTAAGTCATATTCAAATAAGGGGGGAAAATTTCCGTTACGGCAATTCCTACGGAGTCCAGCTTGTTGTCGGTCCTTCCGATGCATTCATCGTTGCGACCTCTTTTCGGAGGTCTCCCCCGACGCGATGGGACCCTCGAACATCTCTACACTTTCAAAACATTATGCTAATGAAAATGCATTCGTATAATGGAAAGGTTGACGTCTTCTGCAACCCTTAGTAATGCGGTGCGGGCAAGAGGCACAGTCAAAAGACACACTTCCGAAGTCGCGGAATGACGCCGCACTCGCCGAGCGCAAAGTACAAGGCCTGTCACGGAAATAAGTTAACACGGTGCTTCACTCCAAGAGGTAGGCACTCGGCAGCAGTCGGTAGAAGAGTCGATACAGGACGTCCGCGTACCAGTGCACTCCCTCACAGCTGCACGCTGCAGGTTCTGAGGATGCCACGAGGCTGCGCCACAAGCGTAGCGGTGCGAAAGCCCAGTGCGCCAGCGCCTGGTTTTGCACACCCGCGTAGCAGGATGCTGCCACACCATCCACTATCACAGTTCCCTCTCTTGTAAGCGGTGCATATACACCCGATAACCACACAGCGCGCACGTCTCGCACACGCAGAGTCCGCATAGTCCTTGTTGGGAGTTGTGTGCTATTCTCTTGGCCAAGCACGAAACCGCCGGGTCTGATGCGCGCTGCAAACGTCGGCAACACGTCCCGGCCGGCATCCGCGTAGTAGACCAGGTGGCCTGGTGTTAGCGTTAGGTGGAGTCCGCATTCGGTGACGATAGAATAAAACACGCGCTCAGCATCGGGCTGCCGGTCCAAGAAGGCGATCACTTCGCTATACACCGGCGTCCGGCCATCGGCACCCAGCGCCAGAATGTGTTCGCCCAGCAGCACATCGGCCAGTCGCTTGGTTCCCGCCGTCGTCTGCACAAGGCTGTCGCCGTGGAAGCAGCCTCCAGTGCGCGCTGACCCATAAGACTCTGCGAGGGGAAAAGTACGTTTTAGCTGCAAGGCACTACCTTGGCCTTTTTCCAGATTTCGCAAAGCTTTAACTGAAAAAAAAAACGTATACGCACTGCAGTATTGCAATAAGGTCAAGTAGTTGGCTTTTTTCTTTCTTTTGCAATGGGTTTTTTTCTTTCTTTTTTTCTGTAAGCCCCCTTTACTCTATGCTCTAACGAGAGGCTGTAAGGTATGCTAAATAAATAATTAGTGTCGCTGTTATGTTGCATTTATTTGTATATTTGAACTGTATACGTTCTCATTTTTTAAAATTTTTTTCTGTAAGCCCCCCTTACTCTATGCTCTAACGAGAGCCTGTAAGGTATGGTAAATAAATAAATTACCGGTTTCAACTACGCCGGAATCTCAAGATCTCTACTCCCGCCGTTCGTTTAATTGCGTTTTGTTTCATCCACACTAGATTGTACATCCATAATTTGGCGTTTTCACACTTAAAACGAAGTGGAAAAACTCTAGAGAACAATTGAATTTATGTTTAGGATTCAGCCATAATTTTATACCATCTTTATTAGCGCGAATCGCGATAGCCATGCATACGCAAAAATAAAGCTTGCAGTTTGAAACTTTTTTTTCAGTTATGAACGACATTTTAATTTAGGCGTATCACTTTACTCCTCAGCATACCGTACTACAAGGCAGAGGAGGCGCGCCTTTTCAGTAACCCGTTTCCTCCCCCCCCCCTGAGTCAACACCTCTAAGTACTTGTTTTTACCGAGCACAATAACCACTTTGACTAATCTTACTACCGATGTAGTTTTACGTGTATCTCTCAGACCTTTTCATCTGCGTAACTCCAGTAGTGATTATCTAAGCGTCATTACAAGTGATAAAGCTTGTTTATCGAAATGACTGGCGTGAATATCCTCCAGTAGTGATTATGTAATAATTTAGTGCAGCTTTTAATTATATGTCGTGACGCCTCTTTGTTCATAATAATGGATATTTTTGTTTTTGTTTTCGGGAGCCTTTACTTACAATATTTGTTTTATTACCTTTTTGCCGAACTTCAGCAACCTCTACCTCATTTTTGCTAAATGTCTGAGAGAGAGTTTCAGTATTCCTAAACAAATAAATAAATAAAGAAATAAATAAATAAATGTAGTCTAGTATTAGAGGTGCCTTGTAGGGTTAACAACTGTAGTTCGAGCGTTGAGTCAGCTTCTCTAACACTGTAATAAACCTCACTACGATGCAGCAACGTTATCGGTGAGAACTAACACACAAAAGCACATAAAAGTATAGGATATATTATTAGCAGTAATAGTAATGCAAGTGTGAAAAAAGACAAGTCAACGAAAAGATAACTTGTCGTAGCCAGGGACCTAACCTGCAACCAACGAATAACGCTTCCGATGCTCTACAAACTCAGCAACAGAGGTGGTAACCCCCTCCCCCTTACCCCGTGTCGCCAGTGAGAAAGACTCGAATTTAGAGAACTGCGCTGCTGACGTCTACAAAGCCAAACATCTTCATTTAAGCGTGAGAGCGTCATTCAGCGTCGTTAAAGCCATGCTGACGAGTGTCTTTTAAAGACGATAGTGTTTCGTGGGGATCTTTGACGGAAACCTTTTGGTCTGTCTGTCTGTCTGTCTGTCTGTCTGTCTGTCTGTCTGTCTGTCTGTCTGTCTGTCTGTCTGTCTGTCTGTCTGTCTGTACAATTGTCTGTTTGTCCGCCCTTGAGGATACTTCAAACGGCACTACACAGATGCTCAAATGCCAAGACAGTCCACGCAAGTACAATGTAACCAGTCATTGGCTCTCATCACGTCGGAGACTCCGTGGCCTTCACTACCGTCAAGAGCTACGGTAGCGCAATCATCACATAGTGCCCCTACCCCCGATGAAGAAAACAAGAAGATGGACAAGGCAGATGTCAAGGCTATGCTAAAAAATTTGATGGGTTCGATGCGTAAGATCCTCAGCAGTCTATTCACTCAAGCTGCTAAGGCGGCTGTGCAGCTACTTGAGCTTTTGGAGCCTCTTCTACTGGGTCTTGAGTAAGTGAACATGGCATTCATGTTCGAAGAACGCATGCGCCAGTCACTTGTTATGCAATGGAATGCTCGTGGCCTACGTGGCCGTCTGTCAAACTTCAGACAATGGGTTTTTAAATATCAATTTTCTGTTATTGCAATATGTGAACAAAATATGGTTTCAACTTTTCGTATATCTGGATATATCCAGATTTGGTCTCGCAATGATCAACGCACCAGCAAAGTTCTCGTTTGTATACGCTGTAATTTGACGTTCTTGAGACATGAAGTCGCGTCGCATACCAGCAATGATTACGTGAGCCTGACTATAACACATAAAAAGCGGACATTCTCAGTAATAGGAGGATACATACACCCAAGCACACGGATCGACTGCTTCTACCTGGGGACCATTCTTCAAGCAGCACAATGGCAACACGTTGTGATTGGCGATTTTAATGCATATCATCCTCTCTGGTGTAACTACAATAACTACAACGAATTCTCGCGGAGGGGATTTGGCCAATATTATATGCAACTATGCACTAAGCGCACTCAACGACGGATTACCTACATTTGTTCGCGGCACGTCCTACAGTAGCTGCCTCGACCTCTGTTTCATTTCCAGAAGCCTTCTGTTTTCCGCATGTTGGTGCCAGATTTGGACACTCGCGGCAGTGACCACCTTCCAACCTATGTTCAGTTCAGGTGGTTTCGCCACACGCACACCCGCTACATCCGTCAAACCGACTGGACACTGTTCAAGGCATCTGTCAAGTCTGGCCGTGAGCACACGACTGATCCATCCGAGGTAGAGAACACTAGTGCTTCTTCACTGCGTGACGCAACCAAACGGGTGAGCCTACCGATGCAGAGATGAGCAGTTGACTCCAAATACGAGGTCCTTCGTGCAATCAATCGCCGTGCCGAACGCCGATACAGAAGAATGAAGTCGCCTTCAGACCTTTCCGCCTGTCGTCGAGCTTAACGACATATTCTTCGGCATCTTCATGAGATTGACAGGCAACGTTGGAGAAAATTCTGTGGATCTCTGGACCCCAGGCAACCACTATCTAAGATTTGGCGGGTGGTACGAAGTTTGCAGACAACTCCCCAACAACGTCAACCATTTCAAGCTGTTGCTCTACATCAGGGGCGGACTGAAGATGAGATAGCCAGTGACTACTGTAGCGTCATTGTGGACACCACTGATGGTTTTGCCACTGATGAGCCTCTTACTACCATTGCGCCTCCATCGTCTGACAAGCGCCTTGATGTACGTTTTACAATGCATGAGCTTGATGCAGCAAATTCTGCCTTCCGCCAGTCATTGGCACCAGGACCTGACGGAATCACGTATGCTGCACTCAACCATCTGAATACAGAAGCACGACGTATCCGGTTATCTCAATATAACACCTCATGGGAGTTAGGAGAATTCCAAGCTAATTGGAAATGCAGTCGCATCATTGCATTGCTTAAGCCGGGGAAGTGTCCTTATGCACTTTCCTCCTACAGACCAATCGCCTTAGGCAGCTGCGTTAGGAAAGTAATGGAATGAATGGTACTGTCAAGATTTGAGTGGCTTCTAGAAAGCAACAATTCCTTTCTTGCATTTATGAACGGTTCAGAAGAGTCTGATCTGCCATTGAAGGTGTAGTCGGCTTGATCACCAGCGTTGAAGAGGAAAGAAGCCAACGCAGACTAGTGGCGGCGGTCTTCCTAGACATTTAGCTTGCCTACAATAATATCTGCATTATGCGATCCTTGACGCACTGGAAGATTTGGACATCGGTGGACGACTGTTTGCTTGGATTTTTAGCTACCTTAGGAACCGCACCATTTACATGACGACAAATCACGGAGACACCAATCGGTATAAGGTTTATCGTGGTGTTCCTCAAGGAGGAGTTCTCAGCTCGATCCTATTCAATGTCACAATGATGGGCCCAGCAGCAGAACCTCACAGCACGGTGAAGATCAGTGCATACGCTAATGACATATGCATATGCGCATCCGGAACTACCCGTCCGCAATTGCGAGTTCGACTACAGCGTGCAGTGACGATCACATACAAATATCTATGACGTCAGGGGCTCACTCTTTCAATCGACAAATGCGCAGTGCTTGCGTTCATGCGCAAGCATAAGTCACAATACCCGATATTTAATAATGGGACAGTGATACCTGCTGTAACGCACCACAAGTTCCTTGGGGTTTTCGTACACAGAGATCTATCGTGGACGAGGCATGTCGCAGTACTTAAGTCTAAATTGAAGAGCTTTGCTCGCGTTCTTCGCCACGTAGCAGGAGCAAGACGGGGCCCATCAGAATCATCGCTACTTCAATTGTACAATGCTCTATTTGTGGGATACATTCGATACAGCATGCCGGTGCTCTCCAATATGAGACGTAGTTGTGTAAAGACGGTAGAGAGTGTTCAAGCTCAATGCTTACGAAGATGCTTGGGTCTACCGCGCTGTACTTCCACAAATGGGACAATCGCAGAGGCTCAGGCTTGTCCCTTCATTGTATACACGCTCTGCGAGCCACTTAGAGTTCACCTCCAATTACTGAGCTGACACAGACAGCACCCACTGTCAGTACTACCGGCCACTCACACAGATTGCAGTTTCTGAAGAGTAATATCGCGGCATGAGATTATTATACCATCAAGGTTCTCCGCGCCAAAGGCCTCTGTAGTGCATCCTTGGGTCCTGCCTACACCACCTGTTTGTTTTACGATACATGGAATTACAAAGAAGTCGCTCATTTCTTCTGTTGGCCTCAGACAACTGACCCTATATCACATTTATACAACGTACAGTGATTCTCTGCACATGTACACCGACGGATCCACCACGCTAAACAACTCCGCCACAGCCTTTGTCATCCCGGACATGGATATCGCTCGACAATTCAAAGTAGACCATTAAACCACATCAACTGCCACCAAGCTTGTCGCTATCCGGGAGGCAATAAAATTTATTTCTGGAGAGTGACCTCGAGTCTGCACGATTTTCTGTGATGCCAAACCCGCTTTGCAAACCATTATTGTATCATGAAGCAAGGTCCGTATTACAGCTTGGCAAAAGTAATCACAAAACCTATTCAGGTTACTTCAACAAATGGCCTTCTTATCACTTTCCACTATATTCCCGCTCACGGTGAAGCTAAAAATGCCTTAAGCAGTGCCCCTGAAGTACGCATTGCGTTTTGACGAGCTGACACGAACGCCCTGCTTCGCTGCGTGATGCGCAGCTACACACTTCAGCACTGCACCAAACCAGAACAGCGACACCAGCGACTTCTCAAATGGGACCCGGAAATGAGTTTCCACATGCCCCCTAAATTGAAACGACAACTCACAAGTATGATCCACCGCATTCCTCTTGGTATGGCGTACAAAAGACGTTACGCACATATCATCAGTTGCAGTGACAGCGGTCCTAATTGTGAACACTGTGATGTGCCAGAAACGATTGAGCACATATTTTGTGTCTGCCCAGCATACGCACGTGGGCGACAAACACTGATTTCTTCTACTGAACTATATCGCAGTAGGTCATTAACTGATGAGACCATGTTGGGTTTTTTGGCCAGACACCAACAGTGCAACTGCGGCCACAAGAGCAAATATAACCTTTTTGGAAACAATTGGACTATATGTACGGCTATAAATTGTGTCGCAGCTAGAAAGAACACTACATACTCACCTCTCTATCTCATCATCGTCATCCATTAATCTTTCTTTTCTTATTTCCCTTCCCCCAGTGTAGAGTAGCAGGCTAGAGCAAGCTATCGCTCAGGCCGACCTCTCTGCCTTTCTGTAAATAAACTTATCTCTCTCTCTCTCAAACGGCACCAATCAGCCAACCCTATACGCAGCGCCTACCAATATAGCTCAAGGTTCTGCGATTGTCTATTGAAAAGCAAGTGGTGCGCATATCTGAGGCGCCATAACAACACGTCAATGTTTTGTACGTCGGCCTTTATACTAGAAGAGGCACACACAAGTAACTCTAAGGACTGTAGCGTTTATCGCGCTGCGCTTACAGTGAAACGCGATGCTCAAAAAGGGAAGTGCTTCCAACGCTTTTCTGTGACGTCACGGTGGTGGCACCTGCCCGCCGCTTTGCGTTCCACACACCTTATCACCTCCGAGACTGCCGCGCATCCTTCTCCATGGGTGCGCACGCCTCCGTTCTCGAAGATAACTGCCAGATGACGCTCGTGTCTAACGCGCCTCGATGCGCTCATTCGCCTCCGCTACACGCTCGAGTCACTCTAACGCAGCGCCTCCAGAATACCGTTCCCCGATTTTCTTGCGTAAAACATCAAATAAACGTTTTGATCCCCCTCCTTAGACGCAAGACTATCGTCTTTCGACATTTGCAGAACATGCATATTCGCGCCAATTTTTTTATCTGGCGTATGACGTTCCAAGAAGACGCGTCTTGACAAGATGCCGAAAGTGCCACGAGGGAGCGAGCATCTTCGATTAATTAAACGCGACTTTCAACGTTCGCACTTGAGGAAAGCATAACTTCGCGGCCGCGCATGCTCCGGGACCCAGCATGTCATATCCCTCAACTTCTGCCGGGTGTCACCCCACACAACAGAGCCCGCTGCTCACGCGCTCTCACATGGACGTGGCTGCACCTTTGAGTACTTCAATAAAGTTTTCGTAGTTTATACTTTGCGCTGTTTGCGTGTACTACTCCTCAGTGTCGGTTGTATATGCGCTGCCGTTATAGGTAGCATGATTCCTGCTAAACAAGGAATTTACCTGACTTCACAGAAAGATGTATGTGGGTGCGCGACTCATAGTAGACCCAGTCGAAGCCTGCCTCCACGGCCAGGCGCGCTAGCATGCCATACTTGGAGCGCTCGCGGTCACTGGTTGTCACGTCCACGGCGCGCCCTTCGTAGTGTAAAGAGTGGGGTGCGTGGTGGCCTTCTTCATCCCAGCCCTCTGTTACTCGCAACCGCACACCTGGCCACTGGTTCATCACGGACACGGCCAGTGTGTTGAGCTTGCTCTTGCATCTCTGCACAAAAGGAAAAACGCAATAAGCCCGTATGCTCTTCAGAGACTCTCTGTTCATTATTACGCTGAACTTAATAATGGCTCGATCAAGTCAGACTGCCAACTGAATGTTTATTGCGGAGTCCTCAGCATATCAAAAAGAATTCACCTTCACGATGAAGTTTGTGTTATACTCTTGTCAGTCGTTATTTTTGGTGGCGCAGTGCGCCTTCCTCACTGCAAAATACGAGCTAACAAAAGATGAAGAAAAGGCTTTACTGACACCGTGAACAGCATGAATGATGACGAGAGAAATAGTGATGTATTCAGGGGGGAAGGAAGCTACGTCCAGACGCGACTGTGCGGCTTTTTGGCTTTTTTCTCTCCTCCTCAGTCATGTATTTTTGTACGCTTGTTTAAACTAAAGGCTCAGGCTCGGACTCAGGAGGGGGGGGGCGTACTTCGGGCCTCTCTAGGTGCCTCGGCGACACATGTGGCCCAGAGTTTCAGGCTGAGTTGGGTTTGGGCCATGAGCTGGGAAGCCTTTCATCACGGCTGTCACTCAGCTCCTTCAGAGAGGATGCTAAATTATTTAGCATTTAGTCATATACGATATATGTGTCTATGACTAAAATTGGCTTGTGGACTCGAGCGCACATGACAATGTATTCTAAAACAAAGTTTCTAAGCTTAAGATCAGTGCCGAAATCTATTGGATGTGCGAGAAGGCTGATAGTGTAATGTTTATAATGTGCACTTTATAATACTGTGAAGATAACTTGATGTGTGACCATTCTCGGGCTGCAAAGTGCTTCAAATCATTAGATAGCAAATAGAGGTTTGCTTCGAGGAATGACCTATAAGGGTGCGTGAGACACGGCAGTAACGAATCGCCGATGTTCGATATGAATGTTTACGGTGAGCGTTTATGCGTGCCTCATCGTGCGTGATCCGTTTCAAAAGATTTGTGCCCAATGTATATCCTGCCTGCATGTCAGTAGCACCACAAACAGGTACAACTTAGAGCAATGTGGTCATAGATGGAGGTACGAGGCGAGATCATAACTTCAAAGGCAGGATGCCATGAGAAGTGAGCCGGAAGCCGGATAGCATTTGTGATGAAACTTGGTTTTTTGCTATCCTCCAGCTGTGATAATTGGTGGGGAAGTATTCTTTGGGCTTGGTGCTGTCGCTGATGCATTTCGGGGTGAGTGGTGGGAATGGTGCATTATATAACGATGAATTGTCTGTCTATTAAATTGTGGAACGGACGGGTGCACTGCAAACAGCAATACACCCAGCCAAGATGTCTCACAGGAAAATGTTTCTTCCAAGCCCCGGTGTTCTCACATATTTTATTTATTTTATTTGTGGAATACTGCTGGCCAAAAAGGCCCAAGCAGGAGGGGCACAAACACAAACACAATATCAGTACATGAGTGACACAGCTTCACTAAAATACATCTGTGTAAGAGGAGAGCGAGTAGAAGAAAAACATCAAAACAAAGAAAGCACGCGATCAGTACATGAGTAACACAGCTTGACTAAAATACATCTGTGTAGGAGAAGAGCGAGTAGAAGAGAAACATGAAAAAAATCAAGCAATATTGGGAGGGGGGGGGGGTCAAGATTCACAGAATTAAACATTGGGTTCATCAAGATCGAAGGTTTGGAGGAAATCAGAAGGCAAGTTATTCCATTCTGTTACAGTTCTCGGAAAAAAGGAAAACTTAAATAAATCTGTCCTCGCAAAATACGGAGTTAAGGATCGGACATGAGAATGACGAGTTTGCCTGGTCGAAACTGGGGTAACGTAATGTGATGGGTCTAGCCCAAGTTTATTGTTAATTAGTGAGTCCAAGAATTTTAGACGGAGAAGCTGGCGCCGCGATTGTAGCGTCTGGATTTCATTATCTCGCATTAGTTCCGTAACTGATGTACCACGACCATACTTTGAGTAAATAAAACGCACTGCTCGTCTTTGAATCTTTTCGAGGGAATATATGTTAGACTTAGTATGCGGATCCCATACAATACAAGCGTATTCAAGCTTTGGACGTATTAAAGTGTTATAAGCTAATAGTTTCACTTGCGACGGGGCGTCTCTGAGTTTGTGCCTTAAAGACACAGTTTACGGAAAGCCGATGACGAAACATCGGCAATGTGTGCATTCCAGGACAACTTATTCGTTATCGTTATACCTAGGTATTTGTATTGACTGACTTCTTTTAAGGGTTGGCTTTTGGAGGAATAAGTAAGCTGAAGGGGATTTTTCTTGTTAGTAATTCGAAGGCAAACAGATTTATCGAAATTGAGCACCATGCCCCATTTGTTACACCACGAAAGAATATTGTTAAGGGCAGTGTCGAGAGCAACCTGGTCATCTGGCGATTGTACATCTGTGAAAATAATGCAGTCGTCTGCAAAAAGTCTTATTTTAACCGGATCAGTAATAGCATCAACAATATCATTGCAATAAATTATAAACAGCAGCGGACCTAGAACACTACCCTGCGGTACGCCGGAATCTACTGGGAGATGAGGTGATGTCTGTCCACAGACGTCGACATACTGTTTCCGGCCGTTCAGGTAAGCAGACACCCAGGATACTAGGTAGTTTGGAAGCCCTATATTCTGCAATTTCTCGATGAGCTTGTTATGGGGAACACGGTCGAATGCTTTACTGAAATCTAAAAACAGTACATCGACCTGACCAGCTTTTTCTAAAATAGAAGCAATGTGATGAATAACTGAGACCAACTGGGTGACTGTGGAAAACCGTTTTCTAAATCCATGCTGAAAGGGAGATAAAATGTGGTTATCATCTAAGAAGCTGTTTATACGAGTGGCAATTATATGTTCTAGCATTTTGCAACATGCGGAAGTCATAGAAATGGGACGGTAGTTTGGTATGCACTCTGGGTCCCCCTTTTTCACAAAAGGCAGAACACGTGCCAATTTCCAATCGATGGGTAAACTTGCTGAACTTATTGAGGCTCGGAAGATCACAACAATGTACTTGGCCAATATTTCGGCATATCGCCGGAGAAATGCATTGGGTATGTTGTCTGGTCCAGGGGTTGATTTAACTTTTAATCGCAGCAGTAAATTTAGGACACCATCGAAAGAAATGAGGTTAGGATCTGAATCAGAAGCGTCAATGCTAATTGAGACAGGCAGGGTAGAAGTTGAAAAAACACTATGAAAATAGTCGTTGAAATTTTTCGCGATAGTTTGGGGATCGTCAATTATAGTGCCGTTAAACTTGATTTGATTTACAGAGCAATGCTCCAACACTCTCAGTATACCGGACTATATGCAAGTATTCGACCGTAGTAAAGCAAACGCTGTGTTGAAGGCTACCATTGCATATAAATAATTTTATTTTATCTTGCTCATTCATCTTTAAGAGGAGTAAAATTTAAAATAGAAGCTAATTTTCTAGAAGAGTGAATTTTACAAGACTTCATTTTGGTGCATAATTTCAAATCACCTGCACATACCTAGTCCTTATGTTCAAAAAACTACTTTGATATGTGAGTCTAAGTAGATAACAGCTGAGATGAAGACTTCGCGAGAAAGAAAAGCCTGCACGATCCTCGAAGTCAACAAGTGTTGAAGCGAGATGGTTCGTCGTACTTGCACTGCTATGGCGCATTACGGTAAAGAAGAAGAGGCGGAGCCGACCAACATAGTTCTCTGTCCTGTTGTCTCCTAGGCCACTTTTTCTTTGTCGTATTGTGCTAAAGCAGTTCACATATACTCTGACAACATTGTCAATTGTACAATCTCGTTCTAAGAATACTTTTTCCCACCAAAGCGCACAAAACCCCACAAAGGTGCACGACAAAGACAACGACTCTCATCAGTTACTGCAAGAATGGCGCGCTTCATTGCAGTCCTTGCTGTGTATACAGTGAGAATTGAGAGAACAGAAACTCAGGAACGAGTGATTTGTGGAGAAAGCAATTGACGATTAGGATACCACCAATTGTGTTTCGATAAATTGTGTTTCGACCAATTGTGTTTCAAGAACCGGGAGTCCCTGTCTACACACAAGTACACAGGGACTCCCGGTGCTCTGTTGTGGTCTCTTTGCGTTCCACATAAGAAGTGGTATAGTCTCGGACCTTGACGCGCTCTTTCGGATCCGTATAGTTTTCATCAAGGCAAAATACAGAGACATTCCGAATAAGATGATTGTCTCCTTGACTTATGTGCAGCAAGGAAGTGAACAGTGACATAAGAGACCAATAAGAACTGTAGCTGCCCAATGATGGCGATTGGTTTAGCTTTGGTGGTTTGAATTTTAAGAGACTGCCATTGACTAAACTCATCGGATAAAGTGCGTTGGTAGGATAGTTGGTTTATTATTGTAACAGAGTCTGAACAACATCACGGACCATGAACAAAGAGCAAGAGAGAGTGTGCGAAACAGGGCAGCCTGTTATATTAATTGGTTGTAACGCGGACACGGCGAAAAAATTACCGAAAGGAGCGGCATAGCATTTCAATGTACCAGGGCCACGGTGCAAGAATACTTTAGTGAGCGAACGCCGGAATGATCCGCTGCCCTATAATGTTCTGCCTCGCTAGGAGCCTGGGAGATGGCGTTGCAAACTTTGCTCCGGCTTCCTCTCCCCCCCCCCCCCCTCTTCTCGCTGTATGAAAGCCCCGTGATGTAAGAAAGTAGCGGTGCTCATTTATCGTCGCAATGACACACTCGCCGCACTGTCTCCATCCTTCCTTATCACCCCCTCTTTCGCGGCGCCACTCTACGCGTGTCGCGTGGTTGATATCACGTAATTACCCGGCTTTCTCAGATTTGAACATCGCTTAAGTGCCGGATGTGCTCTGCGGAATTTGCCAGCAGCCCACCACGGTACTCAGTCTGGTGAGCTATCTATCGGCACGCCGCAAACGAGACCATCGTCAGTACCTCCCGGCCAAGCACTCTTTTCGCACCGTTTGCTCACCTAAAGTATTCTTGCACCATGAGCAGAACATAACTTCGACGATCTC